TGTAATAATTGAATTGACAAGAAATAACTATAATCTAAAGCTAATTTGAATTTTTGCGTTATTTAGATCAGCATGAAACCAAGCTTGACTTAAGAAGGTATAATGTTGTAAAAGTAAAAAACACTTGAAAAGATAATGTTTTTTTTTTGGTCAATGAAAATGATTTTATTCATTACCAAGTGTGAACATTACATAGCACTTAACAATTCCAGATAGTTTGGATCTCAACTAGCCAAAAGATCACAAAATTACAATCTCACAATGCTTTCCTTTACATACTCTGGAAAATCATCATTCAAAATTTTAGAGAAAATGGAGATTTTTATCACACGAAGCAGTTGATCAGGTTGTCTTATTTTGCTTTGAAATATCCTCAAGTTTCTCTCTTGCCATATCTAATATACTGAAACAGAGAGCGCCATTCTTTTCAATTTTTCTGTAAAATTGTTTCTTCGAAGTCTACAACTGTACCAATCTATAATGTGCTCCCAATCACAAGATCTACAATTGAACTTCAACCAATCCATGACCTTGTTCCAAACACTAGCACTGTACTGACAGTCAAAGAAAAGGTGTTGGCATGTTTCCAGCTGATTAGAACATAGCACACACCTATTAGTATTGATGATGTTCATACGACAAAGCCTCTCTTGTGTTAGCAACCTAGAATGGGCAACTAACCACAAGATGAAAGAATGCTTGGGGTAATGAAGACTATCCCATACAGTAGCTGACCATGCTACCTGCTGAGAAGAATGATTCAGTTTTTCATAAACTGCCGAAACAACAATTTTTCCATTTACACAGCAGCTATCAATTAAATTCGTTAGATTCTCAGTGCTCCCCAGCATACCAATCAACATATCACTCATCTTTATAATTTGCTTCCACATCCATGAATCGTTTATTTTAACTTGCACCTGCCAAACATTAGCATGACTCAAATAGTTACCATGTATCCATTTGACCCACAGATGATCCTTTTTGAGATGTATTAACCACATAATCTTGATAGCTGTAGCTTGATTCCAAATTCTTGCAGAAAACACACCCAAATCTCCTTGTTTTTTATTTTGACAAACTGAATTCCAGGAGACAAGAGGAATTTTCCGATTCCATAGAAACTCAGAGCATAAGCTGTCAATCTTACGAAGAACTTTACTTGGCAAAATGTAATTATTTGTCCAGAATATATGAATTCCCAAGATGACAGATTTGATCAATTGTAATCTCCCGGCATATGATAACACCTTCCTCTTTTGCCAATTTTGGAATTTCTCAGAGATTCTACTGAGCAGTGCAGAACAATCCAAACAAGAGAGCCTTTTTGATATCAATGGCACACCAAGATATCTCACTGGTAGAATACCTTCAGAGAAGTTCAAATAAGAGCATATTTGTTGCTTAAGAGAATCATCAATACCGCTCATATAAACTGAACATTTATTTGGGTTTGAAAAAGATAATGTTATAAAAGAAGGATGAATAATTAAATCCAATAAAAAAAGATGATTAATTAAAAGTGGGCTAGAATAAAACTAAAGAGAATATAAATTTTGTTGCTAATCACTGATAGACTTTAGAAAAAAATCACAAAATAAAGATTAATGCTAACTCTATTACACTTTTATATGATAAAAGTATCCCATATAAAAAATTAAAAGAGTTCATGAAAATCACTTCTAAAGATACATGATTTTACTCAAAAGATTAAGCTATTTTTAAAAATATTAAATAATTTAAATTTGTGTTGTATTTATAAAGAGCCTTGATGGAGATTCTTTTGTTTTAGCAGCTTGTTCTGAATGAGCCCTACATATTAGCTTTAAAGTGTAATATTTTTTCTTTATCGTGTTATATGGATGTCTGCTTGGTTTGCTTATCTATCTCTTATTTTTTTTAATAAGTTGATATATTATTAACACAATTTACGATGACATTCATATCTTTCATACAAATTTGAGACAGGTATAAGATGAATTTTATATTTAGTGGCCTTTAATAAGAATTAGATGAATTTTATATTTAGTGGCCTTTAATAAGAATTTTAGTTGTAAAATATGTAACCTTCATATTTAAAGATCTTGAAATCTGACAGTACTATTACATGCTTATCTTTGATTGTGTTCTTAAAAATTGATCTGGTAGTCATATCCCCAAATAATGATACTTGTAGAGTCGTGCCACTATATAGAGAAAAGAAAAATATTAGTTTTAATTTTTTTTACTTACACTATGGTAACTAAGTATCATGTGCATATTTTTTATCCATTATAGTGAATTTTCTCATCTTATCTAGTTTATTATATCTCACAATGTAGTTGATGGCTTCACTTTAGTTTCACTGTAGTTGATGGCTTCACAATGTAGAATAAAGTATAAAAATTTATAAGTACTTACTAATTTTTCTTATACTTTTCATGAATAATTTTTTTTAATTAGGACATAATAGTTCAATATGTTCTTTAAGAAGAATTCGGTTAGTGCTTCTTTGCTCGATATGCTTTTTATCAATGTCAATTCAGGTGATTCATGAATTATTCTAAATTTTGAGTTTATTTCCTTTACTTCTCCATTTGAAATGAAAATAACTTAGTTCTTTTAAAGGATATCTCTGAACTTTCTGATAGATTCTCCATACATAATTTCTTGTATTTTTTTACTTTATAAATAAATATTATCAACATTAGAGATAAATGTTTATACATTATAATCAATTAATGCTAACCTATTATATCTTAATGTAATAATATCAAACATTTCCTCTTTTCTTTGCCAAATTTTAGCCTTTTGTGATTTAAACTTTTGAGGGTGTGTTTTGTAATTCTTAAACTTTGATAGTATTTTATGAAAATTTTAAATTTTAAGTTGGGCGCTTATAATTTTCATGTTTCATGTATTGGTGATAAGTTTTTACATGTTAGAATATTTCTCGTAACTCTAAAAATTTAAAGGTATTTTTATAATTACTAAAATTTTGGGTTGTTTTTTAAAATTTTTAAATTTGTAGCAATCTGCTGATAATTTCTAAATTTTATATGTACTAGTTATAAGTTCTAAAATTTCAGAATTTTTTACCTTTGAGAGAGTTTTTATAATTTTTGTACCTTTGAGGTTATTTTTTTTACTATTTTTCTATGAGCCCAATGGTAATCCCTAGAATCCATCTATGTTGTTTCTAAGTTTTGAAATCTCTGAATTTTAGAATGTTTTTTTGTAATTTAAACATGGCTAAATGGCACTTAAATACCCTATTATTTTGCTCTTGTAGTAGTTATATACCCTAAGTTACAAAACATAGCAAAAAAATACCCTGAATTGGTAACTGTTTAAATTTAGCTAACGATGTTAAAAAATACATGAAAGGACAATAATGCCCCTCCTTAAGAATTAACCCCCCTAACATTGTGAAAGCTCTTATTTTCTACTGTTACCCATATTAAAGAGGAAGAATAAGTTGGAGGCCATGAAAAGAAGAAGATGATGATGAAAATAATCTAGTTTGCGGGCTAATTTGCAGGGGGGGGTAGGTAATATAGTAAATAATACAATAAATAAGGGTAAGAAATATTCAAGTTGGTCATAGGTCCAGCACGTGGGAATATTCCATAGAACATTCTCACAGCTGGTTAACAGAAGGTACTAACTTACAATTTTTTGCCAACTCAGGGTATTTTTTTACTATATTTTGTAACTTAGGGTATATAACTGCTTCAAGAGCGAAACACATAGGGTATATAAATTTAATTTAGCCTTTAAACTTTTAAGGTTGGTGTTAATTACAAGTTTTAAATTTTTAGATATCATGTTTGTTTTTAAGTTTTAAAAAGTCAAGGTGTTTTGTGTAATTTTAAATTTTAAGGCTATTATATGCAAATTTTAAAACTTTTGGGTTTTTTTATAATACTTCATGTATTATAATATGTTATCTACGTATAGTTTCTTAATCTTATTTTTTCTATATTTTTGAGTTATAGGTAGTTCATATGGAGTTAATATAGGATATAATTAGTATTTGGATAGATTAAGATTTAAGTGAAATATTCAAAATAACTTTTTTTTAAATTGTTGACCTATAGATGTAGGCGTCAAAAAATGCTGAAAAATATCCAAATACAGCTCAAGAGGGAATCATCCAAAAAAGGCAGAAGAACAAGTCTTGACTGTCTCGCCGTGCGAGACAGACTTGACTGTGCAACCTATGGTGCCGCGGCAGTTAAAGCAGGATGCTACAGCAGTTATAATACAGTTATCTGATGATTATTTAAAGTCCACGTGGCGGAGTATCAGAAATAGAACGTGTGCTGATGTGGAAAAGCAGTTAAACCACGAAAAAGGTGGTTAAAGGTCGTGGGAGAACTGTTTCAAACACGTATGAACGTGGGTGTAACTGCCCCTTTAGCCGCGGCAGTGTCGACTGCCGCGCTCTTTGGCCGCGACAGTGTCGACTGTCGCGCCCTTTAGCCGCGACAGCATCAGCTGCCGCGCCTAAAGAGACAGTTATTGACCAGCTATTTCTTCAGTTATCGTCTAAGGAGGCTATAAATACCCCCCTATAGCCATCATTGACAGGGGCTGAGCATTTTCCAGAGAGATTAGAGCAGAGAGCCTTGAGTTTTGGTGAATTAGAGCAAGAGAGAGAGTCTTCCTTCTTCACAAACATCCTCAAGAAGCTTCTAGCGAGTCCTAGAGATCTAAGCTCAGACTTGATCTTTGGAAGAGTGAACATCTTACATCGATAAGATATTCGCTTCAAATTCTTACTTCGATAAACGAAGGAAGAATCATTAAACCCCTCACGGTTCAATCAGAATCTGTGATTTGGTGGTCCACGAGTCAAAGCGCTCCCGGCACAGGCAAAGATCCCACGAAAGCAGTGATCCAAACAACGATCCTGCGTTTGTTTCTCAAGAGTTGTAATTTTCCTTTTGTTGTGTAAAAGAAGTCTTATAAAAAGACTATTTCTTTTGAATTTATTGTAATCGACCGAAGATATAATGAATTCGACAACAAATTCAACTTTTGCTGAAAACAAACTGGCGACCATAGTGGGAGCCAACGGTCTCGCTGCCGAGACCGTCGTGTCGCAGCCGATCAAGATTCCAGTTGAATCTATGGTCGAATACGAATTCGACCAGATCAAGTTTGAGGAATATCTCTCATCATCCTCTTCAAGATCTTCATTGTCTCGCGGGTACAAGAGGATCTCACAATTGAAGAAGACTTACATGCCAAAGAAGGCACAAAGTGAAGACTATCGTCCAATCGTTGTTGAGGCCTTGCCTCGCAACATTATCCCGGCAACCCCCAAAGCTGGAAGCTCTACTCATAATGATTCCACCCTAATTAAGAGCCAACTCTGACGAAGAGGGCTCGTCAGAGGCGACGCCAACGTCGCACTCATTAATTAGCTAAGGCCTTGGAACAAACCGACGGGGTTTGTTACCACGCGGACCTAAAGTCGAGGAGACATCGAGTGGTTCAGTTGTCTCAACAACCAATCACTCGTATCTCTGCTAAAACAACGACGGAGGAATGGACTATTGTCAAAAAGACTCGTTCGACCCTCAAAGAACGTATACAAAAACGTCATGCAAAAGCTGCTCATGCCCATGCTCTCTCACAATAAAGACGAGAAAGGAAAAAGGAGACGATGGCCAAAGAACCACCGAAACTCCGCCAAGTTTGGATTCCAAAGTATGGATTTATGCAAAATCAGCATTCGGAGCCCGTTAAGACCCCATACCCGCAAATGGGTGGTTTTAGACGTGCGA